AGCGCACGCGCCCTATAGCAAAAACCTCTTCAAAAAAAAAAAAAAAAAAAGAAGATGCCAACAGAAGCATAATTTCTTTTTTCCTCTATAGTTTTTGCTATAGGGTGCATGTGCTCACAGTAGAGAAACAGAGAGAGAAAGAGAGAAGGAAAGTGAGAAATTACCCTCCAGGGGAAATAGCCATGCTGCAATCCTTTCTCCTCCATTCTCCTCTCAGGATATTGGACACACACACACACACACACACACACACACGTGTGTGCGCTCCAACATGATTTTCAAGCCACTGGGTCTAGGATTTGAACCATGGAGTTGGCATGTAGGTCCCACTTTCGTGTCACCTGCTGGTCCCACGGGGTTCTTTTTTTTTTTTTTTTAGAGAGATTTTTGCTATTGGGCACGTGCACGTGCACTTGCCAAACAGAGAGAGACAGAGAAACAGAAAGCGAGAAATCACCTCCCATGGGGGATGGCCGTGCCATAATCCCTTCTCTTCCATTGTCCTCTTGGGATCTTGGGCACGTACACACATGTGCCCGGCGTGAATTTAAGTCACCAGGTCCGGGACCTGAACCACGATCAACTACATGGAGTCCAGCGACAAAGCCATTATGCCACAGGGTTCTTTTTGATAGTAAAAATGTCCTAAAATTGATTGTGTTGAAGGTCATACAACTCTGAATACACTAAAAGTCACTGAACTGTACATTTTAAATGGCTGAATAAGATGTTATATACAATTTACTTCAATAAAGATGTTGAAAAAATGAGATAGCAACCATGACACACCCAGCTTAGGGTCCAACAAACCACAGGCACTCAGTAAATGGTCTTATCATCAGCCCACTGTGCAAAGAGTGCCACAGGTCCTCAATTGGCATGTAGATGGCAAGAACTCTGTTCTGTGTTCACTGTGTGGCCCTCTAATACATCACTTCACTTCTCTGAGTCTTTTCTTCCTCTAATGGAGCTACTCATTAATTGATAATGAACAGGATGACACTATAGTATATGCAATGTACGCTGTGCCAGGCACTAATTTGAGTATCTTACAGGTTTTTAACTCATTAAATCTTTCCAAATATAGTATTAAATTATTACAATTACATAAGGTTGAAGAACTAGCAAAACTCCAAATTCAACATGTTAAAAGAATTATACACCATGGCTGAATAAAATTTATCTTAGGAATGCAAGGGTGGTTCAACATATGAAAATCAATCAATGCAATGCACCACATTAATGGAACAAACACCAGAACTATCTGATCACCTCAATGCAAACACAGTGTTTGAAAAAAATCCAACATACGTTCAGGATAAAAAGTAGTCAACAAACTAGAAATAGAAGAGATCTTTCTCCACGTGATAAAAGCTATTTCTGAAAAGCCCATAGCTACATCAGGCTCAATGGTGAAATACTGAAAGCATTCTCTCTAAGACCAGGAACATGACAAAGGTGCCTATTTTAACACTGCTAACTGCTATTCAACACTGAAAACAGCATCCAAATGGAAAAGAGGTAAATTACCTCTATCTGCATGTAACATGATCCTATAC